AAGTGCTATGAACTTTATTTTGGCTTTAAAGTCGGTGACCAAGATAAGACTTGGGCTCCTCACCATTGTTGTGTAATTTGTGTTCGACATCTTACAGGGTGGATTAAAGGTGAACGTCATATGCCTTTTGCGGTTCCAATGATATGGAGGGAACCTAAAGACCATTCTTCAGACTGTTATTTTTGTTTGATAAAGACTACAGGTATTACATCCAAATCAAGACATACAGTTGAATATCCAGATTTGCCTTCTGCTATGAGACCGGTTCCTCATAGTGATATTTTACCTGTTCCACAGCCTCCTGAAAATGTAATATTTAGTGACGATGATTCAGATAGACGAGAGCAACAGTGGGATGACACAAATTTTGAAGCAGGTGCTTTATCTGAACCTCATTTATTAACCCAAGGAGATTTGAACGACCTCGTACGTGATTTAGATTTATCCAAAAAACAGAGTGAACTTTTAGGCTCTAGGTTAAAAGGCTGGAATTTTCTGCATAAAGGCATAAAAGTATGCTTTTTTCGCAAGCGTCAAGATTTCAAGACTTCTATTCACAAGAGAATGATTTAGTATATTGCAATAATGTTGTTAGTCTAATGGAAGCGCTTGGTCATGACCATGATACAGAAGAGTGGCGTTTATTCATTGATTCTTCAAAAATTAGTATGAAAGCTGTTCTCCTTCACAATGGAAATAAGTTCCCATCAGTGCCAATAGCACATGCATCCAACATGAAAGAGACTTACGAAAACATGAAACTGCTTTTGAAAAAGATAGAATATGAAAGATACGGTTGGAAAATATGCAGCGATTTGAAAGTCGTTGCTCTCTTGCGTGGATTACAGCTTGGATATACAAAATTTTGTTGTTTTCTGTGTGAGTGGGATAGCAGAGATAGGGAAAGGCATTACATTTAAAAAATCTGGCCAAACCGTAAAATCTTTACTCCAGGATATAAAAATATTGCAAATCTACCCCTGATCGATTCAGAAAATATTTACTTACCACCACTACATATTAAACTGGGATTAATGAAGAACTTTGTCAAGGCAATGGATCGAAATGCCAGTGGATTTGCCTACCTAAAACAAATATTTTCTAGTATAAGTGAAGCGAAGATTAAAGAAGGCATTTTCGTTGGACCTCAGATTCGAGAATTGCAGCAGGATGGAAATTTTCAAAATAGTTTGAATGAAGTTGAAGCAGCAGCATGGAATTCCTTTAGAAATGTTTGGAAAAACTTCTTAGGAAGTGTCAAGGTTGAAAATTACCGAGACATAGTTAATGATCTGTTGCTTTCCTACAAGGCACTGGGATGTAACATGTCCCTCAAGATCCATTTCCTGCATTCACATCTAGATTTCTTTCCAGACAATCTTGGCGCAGTTAGCGATGAGCATGGTGAGAGGTTTCATCAAGATATATCAAGCATGGAGAAGCGGTACCAAGGTAAATGGAGTCCCGCTATGCTTGCCGACTACTGCTGGACACTCAAGAGGGATCTACCACAAGCAAAGTATAGAAGAAAATCCACTGTCACTGCTTTTCATAAATATGTTTCGTTCATATATGCCTATATATTAACAATATTTCCAAATTTCAAGTAGGTGTATCTCAGAAATATTGCGTAATAGAAAAACACTAATGGTATATTTGGATTCAGGACATGTTGATAAGATGCTATTTCTTTGTGGACAAAGAAAAATATTTTTTGATAAACCAGTGTAATGTAATAAGGGTTATGCAAAACTGCTTACGTAACATTGTTTGCATTTTTTACTGTATTTATCCCAATACTAAAAAAAGACCGTCACGCAAAAACCATAGGTGATGGGAAATTTCTGATTAGATTTTTGAGTTCAGCATGAAAAGTTACACTAGAAACATAATCAGGTTCTCTTGTGCAAAAATCTTGTTGACCAGTGTTATTTTAGCGCGTAGGGGTTTCTTTTCAAATAAAACGATTTTCTGCTGCCCTGCAATATGTAAATAAATATCCTCAAATACCTTTTCCAAAAGAGTTTATCTTTATTAGATAATAAATGGCATATATTGGATTTAATAAAATATTTATTTTGCCAATATTTCGGCTGGCTGAACGCCAACCTTTATCGAGGCATTACATTTTTGTATACACAAACTCAGCGCCGCATAGTGTTATAATATCACAGTTGAAATCAATTAAACAAAGAAAGCATAAATAGGAAAATTGATTTACCAGACATCTACACACCATTTAGATCTTCTTAATTTTTTTGTCTATTTATTTTAATTTCAATTAGTTAATTTTTATTTTTTAATTGACTTATTATGTACTATTTTAAAGGGAGAGGTGCCGTTTTTAAAAAAAAAAAAAAAAAAAAAATTTCTTAACTTTGCTCTTTTATTTTTTTTACTTTATTTTACTTTATATTTTGTTGTAATACCCGCGATTTCTTAAATTATATTTTCACACATTAGTAATTACCTGTAATTAATACATACCACTTGTTTAATTATTTTTACATTTATCGCTTCAAAACGCAAAAGTTTTGATACATTAAATATATAACATTTTACATGCAATAATTTAAACTTTTTAGTTTCCATTTTTAAACTTATTTTCTCATTTATTCATCCTAAATTGTTTTAACTTCCATTTTAATGCATTTTTATAAAATATTTTCTTACTTATTTATAAATCGATCTCCTAAATTTTGAAATGAATTTTTTAAATACCCACATTTTTAAAAACTTTTTATAAGGTTCTTACAGTTTATTGTTTAAATCATTTAAAATTTATTTTCAAATGTTTTAATAGATACACACATTTTTACATTTATCTCTTTATGAGTTATTAATGAATTATTTTATGTACTTATATATATATATTACAATTTTTTAAATATAAGATAGAACTTTTTTTCCTTTTATATTTTAAGATATTTTACATTTTTGATTGCATTTTTTATAATAATTTTTTCATACACAAATTTTCTTCCACCTACTCTGTATTTTAATTGATTTCAACTGTGATATTATAACACTATGCGGCGCTGAGTTTGTGTATACAAAAATGTAATGCCTCGATAAAGGTTGGCGTTCAGCCAGCCGAAATATTGGCAAAATAAATATTTTATTAAATCCAATATATGCCATTTATTATCTAATGAATTAAGTATGGATTGCTCTATTTTCAAAACAGTTTATCTTTAGTATCGAAATATTCAATATTAGAGAGGTATGGTAAATTAAACTGGCGAAACCGCTAGGAGGGTTCACCACTTATGAGCCAGGCCCTCCCTCTTTCAAATTTTAATCACTGCAGTATAATAAGTGTAGATATAGTTTTGAATTACATATATTTATAAAGAAAAGTGTGGCATTAAAAATGTACTTCTAATTTTCAGTGATAGAACTCGCAAAGTTGATGTTCCCACCAGTGTCGCCGTAATCTCGTCTGCTGTAAAATTTCAATTTAACCCAGACGACCCTAATCTTCTACATATGACCAATAAATTTGCATAAGTCTCAGATTACGTCCTCGCTTCATCGTTTTTTTTTTCCATCGGGTATCTACCGGAAAATTAGCGCAAAGTGGGATTATCTGCTGACACTTTTTGGGCTGCGTAATTTTACTGTTAGAAGGCCAAATTGGAGGGAAGGGGGGCGGACATTTTAATTAAACTTTTATTAACTTTTGACCATAAAATATATCTGTAATCTTTCTTGGTTTTTCCTCCAATAAATTTCATGTGGCGTGGAAATAATTGAAAGATCTCTAATAATGCAATTCAGTATATGCACTTATTAACTTTTGACCATAAAATATATCTGTAATCTTTCTTGGTTTTTCCTCCAATAAATTTTATGTGGCGTGAAAATAATTGAAAGATCTCTAATAATGCAATTCAGTATATGCACATATAGTGTAGCAGACGATACTTCGGAGCATATGCAAATATAAATTCGGGTAAAATAGCATTCCAAGCTTTTAACACTTTTTTATATACATATATAATAAATGTTGTTAAATATAAAAGGCCCTTTTTAAGTTTTATGTTTTAAATATTGTTACCCGCCGATGTGTCTAAGAGCTGTACTGGAAAATGTGCATAAGTTCTTCAATTACTAAAAAGCATAGCTCCATCAAACACTATTTCCGGGATTGAATATTTAATTGAAAGACTAAGCAGAATCTCCAAATAAAAAAAAAATACAATAATAAAACGGTATGGTTTATTATATACAATAATAACGGTGTGGTAGATTAAGCAGACGAAACACTTTGAAGGGTTCGCCTCTGATGAGCCAGGCCTTCTCAAATAATAAATGTGCAATGGCTTTTTTAAATTATTAGAAGGACTTAATATAATTCCGAAAACTAAAAGAATAATGAACCAGATTAAAAGACAAAATGTGATAATTTTCTCATCCTGATATCAAGCGGTAATAAATATGATTAACTAATCCTGTAACTAAACATCGATGATGGTTTGTGCCATCTATCGGAATAATCCAATAAACGTTGATTTATTTTTATTTCAGAATATTGGCCAAAAGAGTACCGTTTCTTGATGGAACCCCTTTTTTCTTGATTTAACAAGAAAAATGATTTTTTTACCAAAATATTCTGGAATAAAAAATATATAAATCAGACTCTCTAATTGATAATTATTCCAATATATGGCGCAAATCATCAGTAATCCTCATTTTTGAGAATGTTTTTTTAAAGATATCTTTCAAATATCCAATTTACACACGTACAGAAGTAAACAGTCATAACTATGAACAGTCGCTATCTCTTTTTGTGATGAACCTGTAGAAGAATGAGTTTCGGTTCGAAAGTTTGCATATGTAAATATAAACAATACTTAAAGTTACACCGCATAAGTTTCTTTTTTTTATGAAAAATCAATATTTATTTCAAAGAGAAATATTTACTATTTCTAACTTTTTTGAATGAAGTATGAGAGGGTGAAAATATGAAGAGTAATGGCGAACGGAAAAATAAAAGTGTCCAGGGGCGGGAATCGAACCCACAACCTTCTGCTTACCGGGCAGGTGCCATGTCCACTAGGCTACCCTGGTCGTATTCCTCCGTTCGTAAATAATATTTAAAGTAACTTATAATACATTATAAAGGACTGCGGCGGGTGATTATAAACAATACTTAAAGTTACACCGCATAAGTTTCTTTTTTTAAATGAAAAATCAATATTTATTTCAAAGAGAAATATTTACTATTTCTAACTTTTTTGAATGAAGTATGAGAGGGTGAAAATATGAAGAGTAATGGCGAAAGGAAAAATAAAAGTGGCCAGGGGCGGGAATCGAACCCACAACCTTCTGCTTACCGGGCAGGTGCCATGTCCACTAGGCTACCCTGGTCGTATTCCTCCGTTCGTAAATAATATTTAAAGTAACTTATAATACATTATAAAGGACTGCGGCGGGTGATTATAAACAATACTTAAAGTTACACCGCATAAGTTTCTTTTTTTAAATGAAAAATCAATATTTATTTCAAAGAGAAATATTTACTATTTCTAACTTTTTTGAATGAAGTATGAGAGGGTGAAAATATGAAGAGTAATGGCGAACGGAAAAATAAAAGTGGCCAGGGGCGGGAATCGAACCCACAACCTTCTGCTTACCGGGCAGGTGCCATGTCCACTAGGCTACCCTGGACGTATTCCTCCGTTCGTAAATAATATTTAAAGTAACTTATAATACATTATAAAGGACTGCGGCGGGTGATTATAAACAATACTTAAAGTTACACCGCATAAGTTTCTTTTTTCACCCTCTCATACTTCATTCAAAAAAGTTAGAAATAGTAAATATTTATCTTTGAAATAAATATTGATTTTTCATAAAAAAAGAAACTTATGCGGTGTAACTTTGAGTATTGTTTATAATCACCCGCCGCAGTCCTTTATAATATGTAAATATGCATATGTATTGCATATGTAAATGAAAAGAAAAACGCATTGTAAAAATATTATATATGAATTATCCCTGCTATTATAAATGAGAGTTCTAACTCGTTATTCAGCAGTTTTTTTTTCTCTTTTTAAAGTGTCTACAAGTGGATTCTAACATCGGAATCTAAGAGTGCAGTCAAGCAATAAAATTCACTCAGATTGGCTTACATCTGATTTTAGAATCGCTGATATCAGCTAATGTCGGACTATACGGAGTCCACAGATAGAAATGTAGTAGGTGGGTAGGTCAATGATCAAAATCAAATAATAATCATAAAAATATATATATATAAATGAAGGTAATTTCAGCCTGATGCGGTCGGGTTATTAGACGAGGGTCTGCATTCTTCGGGCGAATTCTTCGCCGGAACGAAATGAAATCCGCCCAGTTCCAATTAAATCTTTTCACAATATTTCACGGGATGACAGCTTCTCTGATCAATCAATTCCTCCTTCTTTCTACATTTTAGCCTCTCCGTTCTTTTTTACACACTCCTTTTCTTCCTTTTTTTTAGATAGGAATTTTTTTAAATGCATGAGAGATAAAAATATATATACAGTTAAACCCGTCTATAGCGCCCTTTCTAAATAGCGCCTTCCTCTCTATAGCGCCCGATTTTAAATACGTAGTACGATGCGATTTACATTAAAAGTGACCTGTCTATAGCACCCCCTCTCTATAGCACCCTATTTTAGCGAGTCCCAAGAGGGAGTGCTATAGACAGTTTTAACTGTGTATATGTTATGATTATAATGTTTTGATGTTTGGAATGATAAAGAATTGGAGGTGCAGTCGTGAAAAAGGAAAAGATAGTTATTTACTTATCAATTAGTTTTTATTTTCAATTACTTGAAAAAAATTACACGTTAAATATTTTTCAAAGTAATATAGAACCTGATTCAAATCACATTAGTAGGTACCGCTCAACAAGAACAACCTAGTTTATGATAATTGAAACAGTGAATAACATATGAAGGTTATTGACATATTAAACAAAATGTTATCGCGGGATTCAATCCTGGTTCATGACTGTCGGGAATCGAGCGTGTTACCCTCTCATCCACCGACTTTTTTGAAATATAGAATTTATAAAATGAATCCTATACTCGTGAATTTAAAAAAAAAATAGGTAGGTTAACTATACATATTTACAACAATTTTCAAAGTGTTATTTTCTAAAACTATGGTCAAAAATAAAAGAATAGTCAATGATGAAAATAAAATACATTTTTTATAAAATAAAATATTTGCATTTTAGATTATATAACATATATATATATTAAAAATGGCATATCCTGAACAGGAGCACATGTGCTTTACAGAAGGCAGAGCGCCATCTGGTGGAACAGAAATCAACTAAACATTGATTTAGCCTGTTTGTGGATAAGTTTAGTTGGTTGTGTGGATAAAAGACGGATTTATATATGTATTTTTAAAAATTATAACTAAAAGGCGAAAAACAACAAAGTAAAAATATAAAAATTTATTAAAGATATCGCCCGAACGAAATTTTCTTTCTAGCCCTTGATAATTCAATTAGAGAATAACGCCTCGCCTTTAAAAGAATTGAAATTACTTCGTAAATATGCAAGTAAGTCTTTATTTGTTTCAAAAACAATTTGAATTTGCATATTTTGTTTTTATAAAAACACGCACACATGTTTTTTTCTCGGGGAAAAAAAGTGTCCAATACGGGATACGATCCTGGGACCTGGCTGTCAAAAACCAACGGTTTATACCATTCCTTTTCCGACTCCCAATTCCACCATCTAAAGAAATTCGAAACAAAAACCTATTTTCAGCCAACCCCATAACAAAGAATATAATCAAGATTATAGAATGAAGAATGAACTAGTTGTTTGTGAACTTAACGATTTGATTTCCGATTAAAAAAATCATATTTAAAGTTCAATTCATTTTGTAAATACATTCTAAACTTTCTACAAAATCTGGATCTCTAATGTTTTCATGCGTTGAATAATGTAAATAACTTATGTAAATAAACTTTTCTCCTTGTTTGGCGCATGTATCCCTTGCGGGATATAGCGCTTTGGAAATAAAATAATTGAAAATTGGAAATAATTTCTTTTAAAAATAGGCACTTCGGTTAGTTAAATTTTTATTTTCTCAACGTTTCAACAAACTATTTTTTGTCTTCGTCAGGAGAAATAAATAAAAAATTAGAGCATTTTGCAAGGCGTTAAAAATTGTTCTGAGGTTGCAAGGGCGTTCTCACGCCATTTTTCAAATTTAGTACATCAGACCTCAGTATAATATTTAACGCCTTGCTAAATGTCCTAATTTTTATTTATTTCTTCTGACGAAGACAAAATATTTTTGTTGAAACATTGAGAAAAAAAAACTCTAACTGGCCGAAATGTAGATTTTCAACTAAATATGAATGCCGGCCAAGCGCAACCTCTATCTTCAAGATAAAGAATAATGGTTACAAGGTACTATGTACTAAGTGTCAACCTGCAACCCCAAAACACATTATTGACTGTATTGACTCATCCATTGATGAACTCTACTCTTCCCCGGCAGACACTATCAAAAGTCTCAAGCTTTACAAGCTTGATACCTTAATATGATTGAGTGGAGATAAGAAAGAAGAAGAAGAAAGAAGGATAAAGAATATAATAGTATCAATTATCCAACTAATATTAAGAATTCCATTTACATATTTCCATAGAATGTAAACAATGCAAGAACATGTATGTAAATGAGACTGGCAGACATTCAAATATAAGAACATCAGAACGAAATATCGACAACACCAAGAGAAAAAAAAATCATTAATATATCATTATATAAAAGGAAACAGGCCATTTCTTCTTCTTATCGGAACTAAAAACCCATTAATCCAACATCCCCAAATAAACAACAGTCGACTCATCATAGAATCCATCAAGAAATTACAACAGTGTTAACAGACGACTGGACTACCAGGAAATTTAGGGTAGCCTAGTGGACATGGCATCTTCCTGGTAAGCGGAACATTGTGGGTTCGATTCCCATCCCTGGATACTTTTATTTTTCCGTTTATCATTACTCTTCACAATTCATCCTTTTATACTTCATCCCTAAGGTTAGAAATTACTCACATATTTTCATGCCCAGCGATGGCCGCAGCCTTGCAGAAAATTGACTTAGACTCAAAGCAGCAGCTTTACACACCCAAGATAGTGGATATTGCTGCTGCTGTGATAGAGATGTATGGAGACATCTGAGGCTCTTCTTTGGACACGACAACAACAACAACAAGGTTAGAAATAATCGTTATTTCTCCTTACCAGGAAATTTACAATAGACTTTTCTATACGATGTATCATCACGCCATCTATTATATTAAAATTGAACTATTTTTGACGCGTATGATTCTTTTTTAAAAATAAATCAATTTTCTATTGCCCTTACTGCAATGATAAAATGATGGGAGGGCCTGGCTCATCAGTTGTGAATATACTTTTTCCTGAGCCCTTCCACTACAAAGCTTCCAAAAAGATGAACCCTCTCTAAAGATCTACAATAAAACCAAGAAGCATATTCATTCAAAAATATTCCTTAAAACTTTTTTTATTAATCTGTAAATTGCTTTTCTCGAATACACTCAATACTTTACAATTTGATTTCATTTAACTAAATTTGCATACCAACCCTTTGTACATATATCAATTGTGTTGATATATATATTTTATCTTTTCATCTAACTAACTTGCATACTAATTCTGTACATATTTAAATATCTTTTTTTCTTTTCTTTCAAAAATGTTGTTTATGTTTAAAGTACAAGTGTCCCTAGGGGGACATAGCGCTCTAAGTCGAAATAAAGAAATATTCATAACAATAACTACGGTTTTTTAGATAATCCTTGCTTCCAATAGTTTACCCCAGACATGTCTATATTGTACCAAAGTATTAATTTTATGTAATGATTATTAATTTATTTATATTTTGCTAGTCTCTGGAAAAATTTCCGATATCTTGTATCTTATATAAATGTTGATTTTACCTTAAATAAAATTGCCGTTTTATTCTGAAGTTTGTCTTTCTTAATTTTCTACCTGACAATATTTATTAGTTTATATATTTATATGTTTAAG